AGGGTTTAACTTCCCGAAAGCACCATATGATTATGAGAGACGCCGTAGTGGAGGGCACCGGAAATTTCGACCACCTGGGGTTCATTAACGTGCACCCAAATCTGAGCACACGGGCCTACAACATTTTCGCCTCCATCGAAAATGCAGCCACCACCGCCGGGATTCCATCCCTCGACCGGCGGTTCAGCAGCCGAGTACCTTAGCCACTAGACCAACGCGGTGGGGCGCATGGACAGTTCCACTGCTCTGCCCATCGTACAGACTTGGTCAATTTAAGTGTAGTGCCTCTGGCTAAGACAGCCGTGTCTGTTTTTTATTGAAAAAAAAAACTATGATAGTGTTTTTAGGAGAAATGACCTAGCGAGAGCGAGCGAGAGAAGAACGAGAGAGTAGGTTCTTCATTAAATTCTGAAAACGGTCACCTGAGCTTAAGATTAGTGTGATGAAAAATTAAGTTTTTAGTCAAAGAGCATGTCGCAGACGCCGAACACAACATCCGACTAAGGAATCTGTCATATTGAGACCAGTATTCTTGAGGAATATTTAGTCTAACGTATACGCGTAAATGCACATATGAATTCCGGCATATGTCGGAGGAAATCGGAGCCTTTTTGTGAGATATTGTAGTCGTTTGTTGCTTGAAGATACGCGGAACTTTTGCTTACGGAATTATAGCGTTCGCGCATACGTTCCTGACCTTCTGAAAGATTGCTTAAGCAGGAAGTTACCTCACTGCTTGAATTGGTCTTGTAGCACAAGGGCGCACCTAAGCAGTTTGCGGTTGCCTGCAATGTCGTAAGATGTCACTGGCGGCGGGCTGTTCATGGGCTCCAATAAATATATACGACAGTACGTCTCAGTTATGCTGCATTAGGTTTTTTCTTTCAAGCACGATAGCCGGCAAGGTGATCTAATTTGAATCTGAAGTATTGTGTCTTAAATATTGGCACTGCGAATAAAAACACACATTAATGCGCACGATCCCGAGCGACTTAATCTCAACACACGTTCAAGTTTGCAACAGAATACCGTCAAGTGATTCACTTTCTTCTTCTTCGCTGAAACATCGAAGCCACGACTTTTAACAGTAGTCTCTTAAATAAACTCAAAATAAACTTGACGAGAACGACACTCTACAGGTTCAATTCAGGTCGTTTTGATAAAAGACGCAGCCTGAAATTTGGAATCAAGTCAGAAGGTATGCGAGAGCTAGTTCATTTTGATGGGAACGTGTGCACCAAATCTTGGGACAGCACTCTCCTTCGCGATACACGGGGAACAGCAAACAGCACGTCAGTGCACCTGTCAGCTCACGGCTACGAACCAAGATTAAAACAAGTTCGCGAACCACATTACTTCGCTCAGGCTTTCGTGTACCTTTGAAGGTGCCGACTAGCACACTGTGCTGCATGCCGCGTTGCTAAAGGGGTCATTCTAGAGAGAAAAAGGCATAGACGAGCGAAAGAAACTAGAAAACCCGAATCGCAGCGTGAATAACGGAAAAAAGCACCTCCGATTGGCGGCACATTTATAGCTATAAGGGCGTAGCGAATTCCCGGACTCGCGTCCACGAGTATGCAGATATGACTGCCAGTATAGTGAGGCGACGCTCAACGTACGTCTCTGTCGACTTCTAACGCCGCTGAAACTATAGCGAAGAGTGACGGCTCCAAACGTTTGCTTTCCTTTAGCGAGTCTGTTGGTCGCCTTTCTCGTGGGGCGCGCTCTTTATTCGACAGCGTTGCACTCGCGAGTCACACAGGTGGAAAAAGAAAAAAAAATCAAAGAAGGAACTCCTCCGAGAAGAACGCGGCTGCTTGCTATGCGCAGTGCAGCGCGTGCTCGGAGAGGCATCGCCGCCGAGTGGTGACACACGCGTGCCCCACTTTTGCGACGCCTTTCTCCTTTCCTGTTGCGCGCCTCAGCGATGGCGGGCCGCGGAAAAACGCGACAGCCGGTGTATATACCGTATACGCGGTGAAATATTCAAGACGCCGGGCCCCGTGCGCTTTCGCCCCTGCAGTCCTACGGCGGAGCTCATGTGGGTCAGTAGGCGCCCCCTCAGCGGGGTTACGAATGTACAGTGCGGTTGACTTGTTTGATGGGACGGGACGAACAAATATCCCCGCTTCATGGTCCGCCCCTTTGGCTTGACCCTCGGCCGTTCTCGCCGCATGACGAGAGCGTGGACAATATTGTCGTTGACCAGCACGTCAGACAACGTTCGCACTTATTTGCATAAGTAAGGAGTTGTACGCGCTCTCCCTATGTCTTCGAAGAATGCAAAATAGATCAACTGTGAACGTGTTGTGGTGATGAACATTACATTATTTCTATTCTTTGATTTCATTCTGCGTGTAACGGACTGCTTGCTATGCCGCTTCTATACTTGAATGGAATTGAGGTTATTCATGTTCTGCAGCTCTTACAATCACCCAGTACAGAAATCTGAAGAGAAGAGATACGAGGGGAGCTATGTACTTTAAGGTTTGAGAAATGCACGAGATGCAGGAGTAATGGTGTGTGCACTTACGGAATGGTGTCGTACAAATCCTGAGGAAGTATATCGAAGCGCCACGTACAAGAATTCACGGAAAGACACTTCATAATTTAATCTGAGCCGTGTACAGGCATACTGCTCTGCGCTGCTTTATGGAGGTACGCTGTTCGTTGAAAACTAAACCGGCGCCCGATGGCGCGGAGATTATTTTCGAAAGCACAAGCCCGGAAGGACGCGACGTTGGATTTCCTCGAGAAATATAGATTCAGCTTGAAGTGAAAAAAAAAAATACAACGTGATGTGCCCCATTACGATTGCGATGGCTTTCGAAAATTCTGAGAACGTCCCACTTTAAGCAGTCCGCGAGGAAAGCATCTCAACACGCTGACACGCATGGACGAGCCCGCATAATACTGTGTGCTCGGTGCAGTGAATTTTATTTCATTTGCTTTGACGTAATTTTTATTGCTGTCTACGTCCATTCTGGTGCATCACCCCCTTTGTCCTTTCCTTACGTCACACATCCAACAATTTATAGAGAAATAGAAGATCAGGTGAACTAAAAAAAAACCCTTTACTGTACTTCAGTAAAAATACGCCTGTGTCCTAATGTGACCCGTGGTACGATCACTTTGGGGAGCATATTTTGCCCTTTAGAGATTAACCTTTCACGGCAATGCTTCAGCTGTCACTAAGTGCAACAAACTTTCTTTCTCCTTTTTTCTTTCATTTATTTCGCACTTAATATTAGCGCTTAATATATATAGCTTTTAGCGTCTGTTCTTTTGGGGCGAAGAGCGTTTCATTTTCGCTTTCTTTCATAGCATTCAGGGAGTCATTGCCCAATCTTTATGCGGAGCTACGTTTGTTTTTACGAGAGCACGCAACAAGAACAACTAGGGTAACAGTAAATTCGTAATATGATATCTGAACAAACAATTTTTTACCTGACACGCACCGCTACTGCCCGAAAAATTGCGTGTTTATTCCAAGAATGCACCTTGCTTGACTGCAGTTTGTTTGCATGTGCATTATGCGTTAAACGCGGGCCCATCAAGGTCTACAAGACAGCGACATAAATTACGAGGAACAAGCTGAAAGATAGCAATAATATCACAACATGCCAGTGCCTCCTCATTGGTCGTTCGTCGGCGCTATTTCAGACAAACCACACACACTAGCTCGGAAATGTGCTTTGCACTAGTAAAGTTAATATCAGTTTCAATCACCACCGTAAGGGAGAGGAAGAGCGGACTGCCGCTGAGGTCATCAAGCTGGAGTCCGGCAACTCCTGGCGTTCAAGACTAACTAAGCCCGAAATGTAGCAGTATACTTTGGTAGCGAAGGTGTAACGTGTTTCCTCGTTCTCTTTAGGAACTCTGAATGTCATCGCGGGAATTTCAAAACCTATGAATATGGAGGTTATTCTTGTAAGAGCCACACGCTCCATAGTCTCTAGTATATTTCGTCAGCGTAAGCATGACAGAGGTCCCGTGTCCACCGTCAGCTGCAAAGCTAACTGCTTGAAGTTTACATTCATAGCATCTTATACATAGAAGTCTGCGGCCTTTATGAGCAACGCCGCACGCTAAATCACTTTAAGCTATTTAGCATTTGCTTTCTAGTGTTCACTACAGCAAAGTTGTACACGCCGAGGCTAAATGAATGTTAGCAGGCAGGTCGTCTATGGCTCAGGGATGTGCCACCGAAATGGAACAAGCCGCATTACCTACCACTGTTTTGCATATAATGAATAAGCGTCCGTGGAGTAAAAGGCATGCGTCATGACAATTGGTCAAATCACACTATACTTCCCCTGCACTGGTCTGCTTAAGCGTCGTGCAACGGAGAACGCGGCCGAAATGTGCATGCTGCTCAAATGGCTTCTTAAGGTCGGGTACGAAACGTCAATCGCATGCGGCAAGCCAGACAGGACGACGCATGTGGCGGCAAAAAGAAGCATGCCGACTAAATGAAAAAAAAAATTTAAAGGAACATGAACTACACAACTTAAAAGGAAGTTTAAATACCTATCTGCACCTTTCATTGAAATCCTGTGCCTTTTTGTACCTTTAAACAAAGTTCCGTCTTACTACTCTGCCGTGTGCTACGCATCATCACAGCTTATTCGCCTTGACGCGGAGCGAAATGGCTTCGTAATAAACTCAGTGATAAATACCGGTATTCTCTTTCAACCCCACTGGTCAGCTATCTCCATAGACTGTAAGGGTGGTGTTCCTCACAAAGATCGTTAGGGAATACCTGCTGCGTTCTTGTTAATCTCTTTATACCATACAATGCATGTATTGTTAAGAGGCAAATGAATGGCGAATACGTTACTTCCGAAAGGAATTGATTAGCGTAACAATGTTTCGGCACACTTTCATACTTTCAGTGTCGCTACTTGCTATTATGTGCTTGAGAAAGTGGAAGCTTTATTCGGTACATTCGCACAATGGACGACGGAATGGATTTGTGAGGACTCTGTATTGCTTCGCAGGATCGGCATATCGTTTTGATAACTGCCGTTATCTAAACGAAAGCTGTGGAAGATCTCCCAGGAACAAATTGCCGTCATAAAGTGCATGGCCAGACAAGTACGACAGCGTTGATCGGTAAGAAGCTTGCTTCTTCAGGGAGTTGTAAGGTATAACCCGGACATGACTGTAGGAATAGGACCGAGAAACGGCGTAGCTAAGAAATAACACTAACATTAAATATCTTCGCGCAGGTAGTTCACACTTTCGGTTACTCCTGGCAATGCTCCAAGTCCACGTCTGTCCAGAATTTTTGTCAGACGGAGTAGATGCACTGAAAATCTGGCCAGACTAAGGTATCTCGGGATTCCAGCAGTCAACCGCGTATGACAAGGACTTACGTGCTCGAAGAAAGACGGGATAAAGAACATTCCTGATCGCGAATGAGTAATCGCGTTTAAGCGAGAATTGAAATTAAACTAAGCAGAGCTGTAAAGTGAGAAGTGGTGAGCTTTAGCCTGACCTTAATCGTCCTTGCCAAGTTGTCGTACGAGTTGCCGTAACCGATTCGAGATGAGGGCAAAAAAACTTGAAAACTTTCAAGCGGACATTGCGCGTTGCACAGCCACCAGACTTGGCACTTATCGTATACTTGATGCTGCGAGGAGGAATCGAATCCTTACAACGCCTCAATGAGAGAGCACGTACAGAGTTTCATTGCAAAGTTGTGCGTGGATAGAGTGCTTGTCACGTCATGCTGTGGTCCCGAAATTCGCGCATTGTGTGTATGTGCATACATAAACGAGCAGTCTTTATTACGCGTGGCACTCACTATACCTGACAATGTGTGACATATGCTCCTCTACTGCCCTGCTTGAACCCCCTCCTGCTTAATCTCGTTATGTGTTTCGCGTGTGCTTCTAAAAAAGAGTGTAGTCTCTTTCACCCGTTCTCGACCCTGTTATAGAAAAGCTATTAGCTCGGGCACCTCGCTATCTGCTCTGGGAACTCGAATCTTTTGGCGATCCTGCTCTTCAACTACACTCTTGCGTTCTTTGTTCATTCACGATGCAGTGGGTGCAAGAGACGGCCGACGCTCGATCGTGAAGCAACAACAGATCTGAAGCATGTCAAGTCATGACGCGCGTACACGCAGGTGCCGTTTCACGCCGACGATGGTTTGGTGAGTCCCACGCCACCTTTCGGTGAACGCGGTAACTGTTGAGGGCCTGCTCGCCGCGCTCTCGGAGGAAACGCGAAATGGAGCAGCGTATTGTCGCGTGTCTGTCGAAACTTCAGTCTGAATGGCGGTCCGCAGGCATGCGCTGCTTTCCTTGACAGCTCGAACTTGCTGTTTGCGCAATGTACGTTTATCGCAAGGTGTGAGAGAACTTTATCGCGCGTATCTCTTCTACTTGCGTTGCAGCTGAAGTAACTATAGCTGAGTGAACCTCTCCTTTTGATTCTGCAGCCAGTACTGCGGCGCAGAAAAAAAAAGGGAGAGAGAGATTGAAATCTGGAATCTCTCACTTCTCAGTTGAAAATCTTCGAATGACGGGTCCTCGCAGAGCTTGTCCAGAGAACCGTGCACTTTAGCAAAAATGGGTTTTTTTTTCAAAGCACGTCTACTTCAAAAAGTAAAATAGAAAAAGTGGCACTTCAGCGCTTTGAGAAAATTACCCCATCGACGGAAACCCAGGAGTTGAAGTGCTTCTGTTTACGCGAGAAGCCACTCTGAGCCGTAAGCAAGCACTGAATGACAACAAACGCTATCGCTGACGCCGCAATTTAGATACTTCTTAAAAATAACCAGTTTCGTGCACGCACTAAACACTCGATTTACAGCAGCATTTAGGGACACTAAGGAATAAAAAGATTTTACGCGTATTAGTAAAGTACTATTTCGCCATCCCGAAAACACCATTCTTACCACGAGACAAGACGTAGTTTTAGCGAGAAAACAAAACGCACGAAAATAAAGTGTGGGTGAAAGCGCCACCCTGAGATTCCCGCACCAAATGCCATGACGTCATAAATTTCGAAGGTGTCTATTGTGCCCTACATAGCTTCTAATTGATAAAGCTCATTGACATCTACAGGTGCCGTAGACATAACACACAAAGTTTCAGAAAATTTCATCTAGCCAATATTGTTAAAAACCTCTAGCCAATGGCACAAATTTTTGACGTCACGCGGGTATATTACAGCGCGAAATGTAAAAACGAAACTTGAACCTTGAGTTGCTTCTTTGGTTATCAACTTATAACAGACAAACATGCGGCGTTGGAGTTCTCAAAGTGCAGTTTATCAATCTAAACGCAGCCACTGTACCTCTTTAGTGTTTCTTTAAGAAATGCATTTTTGTAGTCAGCTTTGCAGAAATTAGGCTTTAAGGTCTTTTGATTTGTTGCCTCTTTTTCGTACAATTCAAGGCAGGAATTTCCCTTAAGTTTGACGTTTCGTCTCTCTTGGCGTTCACTGCGTCATCCTGTGTTAAGCTGTTCGTATCAAATTCGTTTTCCTTGGGGCTGAGCTTTATTCAAACAAACGACCCCGTTCCTTAAAGCGCCAAGATATTTCCTGTGTCAGTAAATGAAGCTTTGTTCCTTTTTCTTACGACAGATGAAAGAGGTGTCATGCACCGGATAAAAATAACTAAAATAAAGCAATATATTTCATTAAAGTAAACTCAACGAGGTTGGTACGAGGCTGGAGGAAGGACTCCACGTGTGAACGGACAAATTTGAGGCGTTAAGTATAGCGAAACACAGAAGCAACGTTTCTGCCACTGCGCTAAAATGAACACAAAAAAATCACAAAGACAGGTGGATGTCTCAAGATGAAATTAACTTTTTTCATCAGTGCAGAGATTTTTAAACTTGTATTTTGCTCTTAGGCTTTGTCTGCTCCAAGAAAATGGAGTTCGTTTTCTTGAGTCGCTATCAACTGGAAATTAACGCTACGAACGAACAACGCCATTATAACAGGTACAGGATATATTACTCGGTATAACGAGAAAAATTGTGTATTACAGCAATAGAAGTATCGCACACAGTGCTTGCGTAGCTTCGCCAGTCGCCATTTCCGTAAGCTTTCTTTTTTTCCATTTAGAATATTGCTTTCCCATAAAAACATGCACGGAGACAAAAAACGAAGTTTGCAGAATGTGTTAACAAGCAGTAACTAACTCTGTGTTTATTTCTCTCATCAGAGCAAACCAGGAAATCGCCCAACACGAGGAGAAAAGTGGAAAAGGTTTTTTTTATAACCGAAGCCCATGGCGGTGTTACGAATCGTTGTCGACTTGTGGACTTGGTTTTTAAATTAAAGCTTAAACTGATGGCAGCAAGAAGCCAAGATGTACACAGCCGAATTTCGATGAATGTAAAAAAATTGAAATAAAATAGACTTCTGATGCACTCGAGTTGATCTCCATTAAATTCCCCCTTGCCCCGTCGTAATACAATCTTCTTTTTATTAAGCGTTTTCAACAAACGACATAAAACGCATTAAAAACACGATCAAGTTATGTCGAAAGGTGTCCATAGGCAGGTAACGATGATATTCGTTACGTGCTCACGAACACCTTTCAGCAGTCTCCGTGATTCACGTTTAAGTACGACGAGACAAACAAACGACAAAGGAAGAAGGTTGCAAGGGGGCACACGGATTACACACGGGTTGCAAAAACGCTCCCAGGGAATGAGACAAAAAATTTTCACTCACCTAAGACAGCTAATCCGTGCGGTGTGTTCGACGCGGCGGGCACACAAAGCTAGCGCCCAAATGTGCGCGTCAATCCGAAGAAACGGTGCCGTCCAGTCACAAGCTCGGCCCTTCGTCCCGAGCAAAGCCCGTTTACTAAATCCGAACAGTGGCTCTCTCGGTTCGAAGGCTGTCGGACGAGTTTTGGACTATATTCACAATTCGCCGAAATAATCACTCGCTCGTCTCCTCAAGTCGCGCCGATGGTCCGTAGAGTTCGGTTGCTGACACTGTCTTCTTGTCCGATCTCGCGCCGATGGAAGGGACGCAAGCCGTCACTCCTGCTCTTGCGTCACCGAATGCCACTGAAGAAGCCGAATCTTGCGGCGAACAGTCTGTCGACCAAGTTGTTTTTTTTTTCTTGCAGAAGTCGCGAGGTTTTGCGTCCAGAAAACACGGTCGACAGTCGCGGGCGACGGGTCGAGATGCTTCTCCGATGTCTTCTGCCGAGATGAAGCGAGGCGCGCTTGCACGCAGGAGCGCCTGTGGTCAGCCGCTATGGCGAAAGGCTCACGGCCGGTCCGCCAAGGCCCGTCCACCTGAGCGAGTTCACCGCGAGCGTGCGAGCGACGCCGAGTGCCGAGCGAAACTGGCCCCGTTTGCCTCTTGCCTCCGAGGGATGCAAGAGAAACCGGAGGATGGGGAGAGTGCAGGGAGCGGGAGAGGAGGCGTCCTCCTCTTAACGGGACTTGGGTGCTTCTCCTCCCCAGGCACCGTTATACAGGCTCCGACGGGCGGGCGCGCTCTCGCCGGCCGACGATTTCTCGGGACCGGTCTCCCCTCCTCGGTTGACTGTCCAACTCTTTCTGCGCCCCCTCCCCGCGCATTCACTTGCACCGCAACCTGCGTGGCGGTGGCGCACGCCGAGTGTGGCATGCCCGGCTGCAGCGGCACGGCTTCTTCCTTGTCGGCCTGCTCTTTTGTCTTTGTCGCGTCCCGAATGCGGCACGCGGAGTTCTCTTTATGAGACCCCGAAGACAGTCTCGCGCCCTCCTGGCCCTTAACAGTGTTGTCGAGGCAGCGGCGGACTCCGTTGCGTTGAGCGGGGGGACGACTTCAAAGATGGGGAGGGCGGTGCACGACGACCAAAAATAATTACTCGAGCTAGGCGCAATACGCGCACGCCGCTTGCAGAATGCTGCTCGTTATGGCACGAGGGTGTTGTGGGAGAGGGCACTCGCAAAATTAGGTGCAGAGGCGGCAGCGTACCATTGTATTCAAAAGCCTCGCCATTAGTTGATTGCCTCATATTACTGCCACAAACCTGGATTAGCATGGTATAGCAGGCTCACCTTTCTGCAACTTTTATCGAATGACGCGCACGATAGCCACTTCATACGTTATTTTATTACGAATAAGTGGGTATCAGTTTTACCCTCGTACTCTAGAACGTCCCTTTACTCAACTCTTCACCTCCACTTCAGAAAGCTGATGGGAGCGCCTTCTCTAGGCACGGCAAGTCACTGCATATCAGCGATAATCTGCTGCGATTCTTGAGTAGCGCAGCATCCTTTTCAGCCGAGCAGCGGCGCAGTGCTCCACTCTGTCAAGTAAAGGGGGAAAGTTGAGTCGAGGAGCGTTTCTGAATACGGGGGTTAATTACGTATACTTGAGCCAAGATGACACTGCACGTGAATTCGGTGATGAGCACATCACACTGCACGTGATTTTGGTGAAGTATACATACTAGCACGAGTAGAATGTTCCTTTGATCACGATCTAACATGTTGTTCAATCAATCCTGGAAGGACTAAGTACGGCAGTGGCATACGCAACGGTAGCATATGTGGCTACCCAGTCTCTATAACTTTGAGGCATTTTCTTCTTTTTTATAAAGATACGGTGAATTAATCATAAGCCTGCCTTACATTGTTGTTAATGTTAAGACTTGCGAGATATGTTATTTGTGTTCTGTGTCAAGCCCTGTAATCAGTACCTTCAGTCAGGAATCTCAGCCCACTGCATAAACCTTATAAAAATCTCTCCTCTAGGGGTCCGAGGACGGGGCACCACTGGCGGTCGACGACAAGATCTCTCGCCAGTGGTGCCCCGTCCTCGGACTCCTGTGACCGTGTTTCATCTTTCCTATCTCTCTTATGTCGTCGCTCGCTGTCCCAGCGCATCTCTCTCTCTCTCTCTCTCTCTCTCTCTCTCTACCTTTAATCCTATCCTTTTAACCCCTCCTTACCCCCATCCCTCGTGAGCTACTGTTGATGTGTCGCACCAGATGCAGACAGTTACGGGGCTCACTTTTCTCTTCTTTTCCCTGTTATAACCACAATCTCTCTGTCTAGGCAACGTGCCACTTCGGTGAAAAGTTATTAACCTCCTCATCATATCTGCTTTAAAATACGCACAGCATTTGGCTCGTCGGTAGCAGCTGAGCGGCAACCCACTGGAATGCTTTGATAAACTCACATACAGACATTTTTCTTTTCTACCTATTTATTTCTTCGTATATTTATCATCGTATTTTCAGACAGCCGGCAGGCTTTTCCAAGTAGTCGCGGAGTCATAAGATTCGGAAGTGGCAGATACGAACCACTCACAGACCCTTTAGAGAAAAAAGTAAATTACTGACCAGCTCACTTTTCCGAAGTTTCCGGGAAAAAGCTTACTTCTTAACGTCCGCAGAACGTTCTAGCGGTCAGAAGATTGCCGCCTGAAGACATCCTCGCAGCCACTTTCCGACGTGCAACTCTGCTTCTATTTCTTCTCGCGTTGCTTCTATGGAAGCGCCGAAGTAACGAAACAAAACAAGAAACTGCGAAAAGAAGAAAAAAAAAAACCTGAAGGTGATACCGGTACAAATCGAGGCGTCGTGCAAGCAAACAGGAAAAGAAGTGGTCGCGTGATCATCGCCGCCACCGCCGCTTTGCTTCGGGCCACGTGCCGCAGCAGCTTCTCTCTCGCGAGCGGAGAGATGGAAACGTTCTCCGTCAAAGTCCTTCGAGAGGAAACGTCGATCGGCCCCGCCGAGTAGCCTCTCCTCGAGCTCGCTTCGGACGGCCCGAGAGCTTCTTCCGGTCAGCGGGACCGCCGGCCGCCCACACCAATCCGCGTATGACGGTCGCGTGTCCAGAAGACTTCGGCGGCTCTTATCGACGTCGCTCCAGGAATGAGCTCGCTGCTTGGAAAGCAAGCAGGCTGAACAAAAACTCCTCGCCCGAATCAATGAAAGCCACATAAGACGCTTGGATGCGACGCGAAAGCTGTGAGGGCGGCAGCGGTGAGCCTCTTCCACATTTGCTTGCGAGACGACTCTCTTTTTCCGAAGAGTCGTCTCGCAAGCAAATGCTTACATCCTTGCTCATCGCACCTGCGATGATCGAACTCGTTGGAGATGGATCGCTACGGCGCCTCTTTGCCTTGGCACTCGAAGACGTTGGGAGTGTTGACGTCAAAACGAGACCAGCCGTGGGGGTGGTTTGATACGCTGTATACGCCCACTTGAAATGTCCAATCGTCTAACCTCGAGTAGGAGGTGAGAAATTCCCGGAGGTCTGGCGTGGGATTTCGTCCGGCACCCTTTGGGCTCACCGGCGGCTGGACCACTTAGCCAGAGACTGATGTGGCGTTCTGCGGCGTGCCAACCGCTTGTGTGTGAGAAGTTCGAAGGACAGCGCTCTCGCAGAAGCGCCCCTTGAACCAGTGCCAGCTACGGAACTGGCTGGACCCGCAAATCACCCACACGCAGTGGAGAAGACCACAAGTCACGCTACAGCGGAATGTGTACAATGAGGTGTATATTTTTTTCTTACAATATAGCTCTTAAATAACAAATCTGTAACTTTCTGCTAACTTACTTTTAAGGTCAGCACTCATGTCATATTCTTCATGAACAATCTGGTTTCGAAAAATGCTGTCTCTTTATCATCTTCTTTAAAGTTCTGCTAATCGACGCATTCGAATGAGGGCTAGTAATCGTATATATCACCGGAGTATTTCGTGAAGTCCAAATTACCACCGTCTTTTGATGGGGTACGTTGAGGGTCATTAAGCCTCATATACTGAGGAAAGAGTTGGTTTCCAGGAGACAGAGAGAACGAGGAGAAGGCCCAAATGAGGGAAAGAATGGAAAAGTAAAGTGTAATGAAAACTTTTTTTTTGCATTTCCTTCAAACGTGGTGTATCGTGTTTGGTTTTTTTTTTGCATTTCCTTCAAACGTGGTGTATCGTGTTTGGGTGTCTATTTTCATATATGTGTTTTCCTCTATCATCTTGAATTCTTTGCCACTGGGTTCGATTCCTACGGCTGCCATGCACCCAGCGTATTTTCTAGTGGGGAGAGAGATAATATGACTCGGCGCTTGGTTGTTTATGGACACTCATCTGGAGAGGCAGCCTCTCAATTTTCTCTCCTTTGTCATTCCGATCCCCTTTGACCCGGCGCCGTGATCCCTTATATAGGTTACCGAAGTAGCATCCTTGCTAGCCTCAAGCTATCTTTTCCCGGAGCTCAGGAACAGCCTACGGTGTCTTGTCAAGCGATCAAACAGGCTATCTCATCCAGCACATCATAAAAATGACTCATTCGGTCCTCTTCTATCTAACTCTTTCTACTAAATCACAGTGGTAATTTAAGGATTACGCCCCGCCATGGTGGTCTAGTGGCTATAAGGTACTCGGCTGCTGACCCGCAGGTCGCGGGATCAAA